TATTTAAATCTTATATAAAATTTTATACAATATTAATTACAAATAACACCATTAATAAAACTTAACGTATAAAAAAAAAGAAGTTAAAAATCCCTTAAATTAATAATCCTAGTGGCAACCACCTCCCCTTGCCTTTTACAAAAGAGAATACTTCTTTATGGATCTGCCTTTTACAAAAGGGAATGGTTCTTTATGAATCTGATGCGTAATTATTGTCCATGACTTTGTTATTCCTTTGTTGACTTTTTATCCGTGAGTCACTCACAACTCACAAGTGGGGGTTTGGCTAATGGTAGTTGGCTGGTTGTGTGTCTGATTATTTTAGCACTAATCCAAGGAAAAGTCTAGTTTTCTTAAAATGGAAAACGGGTTCTTTAAGAAGCAGGACAAAATTTCATGTGCATAAATGCTCCTTTTTAATGCCTTTTAAAATTTGTTTGAGGTTAAATGAATCCTTAGATAAGTGAAAACTTGTTTTGGATACTTTTACCCATCAAAAAAAAAAAAACCTCTTTTTGTTAAGTTAAGGGTTTGTTTTTTAGTGTTATTTTATATTGAAATTATAAACTTTTTATTTTAAAGATATATAAATCTTTAATTAAAATCAATAAAATTTTATAAAAATGGTATATTTCCATTTTTATATACAGCGTTGTTTAGAAAAATCCATGCAAAGTATAATCTAAGTATCTAACTAAACTTAATTGTATGTATTAGTAGTAATAATTATTTTTTTGGTGGTATCTGAAAACAGAACAAAATTAATAAATTTTCTCGGAAGCTAACTAGAAATATGTAGGCTCAACCTTGATTGATTTGATTGATTATAAAAATTCACGTATTTTTAAAAAATTATTTGAAATATTTAAAAATATATTATTTTAAATAGATTTCAAACAGTATACCAATTATTCCTTAATTACCTACTAATAATTTAATAGAAATAGTATCAAGATGGTATATTTTTGTTAAAAAAAATCTACTCTTATTTTCATAACATTTGTTTATTATAAATTTAATTAAATATCAATTTTTATTTTTTCAAAACTCTACTCTTAACCTATATTATAAGATCAAATGTTAAAAAACCCCTTTTTTAATTTTACTTATTTTTGTCCGAGTGGTTTAATAAAAGAACAACCATAGTAACTCCCAAGCCCCAACTCCATTAAAGATGAAGAATGAAATGAAAAAAAGCTTCGGTACCCCAATAACATGACTAAATTTAATGAAGCCTCTTGGAGGCAAATGATATGGTACACTTGAGAGCATTGAAGTTAGTTGTACCGCTAGATATGATTGGTTAAAATTAACAGCATATCTTCACAACTGGCTTTTGACCCCGTAGTTTCCTTGACGTGGCACCGCCGTCACCGGTATACCAATTACCGTCTGGCACGTGTCCAACTGCAATCCATTCCCCGCGAATGGAGCCGCAGTTTCCAACTTGACGGAAACATTGACAATTCCGTGGCCTCTTGAGCCGTCGTTGTCCCGTAGTCGGTAACTAAGGTGCCGAAGCGAGCCCGCCGGAGAGAATCCAATATCGGAGACTGGAATCTGGCACCAACCCAGTTGAGCCTTGCCGGAAATGAGTCGTTTAGTGTAGAGTTGCAGATATATACAAGAATACCTATTGGCGAAGAAGGTGGCCTCCACCGGTACACGAAAGCTATCACCCCATGAGGGGTTTACGCCACCTGAATCATCTATCCTTGTTTGGTACACCTTGCCGTGATCACCTCCGTGGCATGAAGCTGGTGTTGGTGGGACGGTGGAGATGGACACGAAAGGCCGTAGACGGTGCGAGAAGAGAGAAGAAGATGTGTTCTTGAGGCCTTCAGCTGATATGACTGTGATCTCCACAATGAATTTCTGTTGCTGACTGTGGAAGAACATAATTGGTTTGTTTGGTGCAGAAAAAAAATTGAAATTTGTAATAGAGAAATTAATTTGGTTGGTGGTGACTATTTATAATGGGAAAATTAATTAGTTTCAAAGAAGTGAGGAAGAAGATACAGTTGTTAAGGGTTACTCGATCAGGGACACGGTGTGGTGCAGTTTCCAGGTAGAAAAACTGAAATTGATAGTGTTTGTGATGTTTCTACGAATTGTGGTGTGGTCTGGGGAGGAATGAGGAAGGATGAATTAAGCACATTGGAAATGGAAGTCAACTGAATGAACTGTCGTCAATGTGAATTTTGGGATGACACCACCATATAATTTCAGGTACGTAATAACATGTGCAATGGCTTTATTATTATTATTATTGCTTTTTTCTTAAGGGTTTTTTTTTAAAGATATAAGTTAAAGTTTTTTTTTTTGGGAGTTAAAAATGTTAATAAGAAAATATAAAAAAATAATATTAATTTTAATATTATTGTTAAGCAAATAAATTTAATTAAATTGTTAATAAATTTTAAAAATTAATTTTATTTTTAAAACTAAAAAAATATCTTTATTATATTCTTAAAATACAAGTTAAATTTTTTTTTTTAAAAAAAGAAGAAAAATAGAATTCTTGATCACTGAAAGTAGGTTTTTAAAATTGGATTTGTTCTCTTTCATTGTAGAAAATTATTTCTATTGGAGCATATACAATAAAAAACAATGAAAAATTTTACTTTAATGTAATATTATTTTATATAAATTTATATATTTATATATTTATTTTTAATGAAATATCTAATAAAATACATTTTTAATACATAAAAAGTGTTTAAAAATTATATTAATATATTTAATTCAATTTATAATTTTAATAAAAACATTTTGAGTCAAAAATTAAAAATAAAAAAGAAAAGACTTTGATCCAATGACTTAAATAGAGCATTGCTAATCAAATGGACTGATTCAATTATTAGAAATTTAAAATTTAAAATTTAAAATTTAAAACTTGAATAAAATAAAAAAAGTTTAAAAATATCAAAAAAAGAAAAAAAGAAAAAAGAAAAAAAGAAACAGAGGATTGCTTTACAACCCTAAACAGCATGTCAGGCGCCGCAGTAAGGTGCAGCACTTTTTCAGTTGAAATATAGAAATTGAGCTTTTTCTTTCAACAAGCCTGTTCGACAACCTCCTCTAGAGTCTAGGCCTCTAATGGGTTAGAATTACATCTCTGTTCTCTTTTTGAAATAAAAAAAAGTTTAATAGGACGTTCTTCACATGATGCGCAAGGTAGTTACACTTTGTTTTATTAGTGGAAACATCGATAGAGTATATATATATATATATATTTTTTGACCAGTAAAAAATTAGGAGAAAGATAAATAGTTATAATATTGTTGTATTGACAGTTTGAACCCTTGATAAAAAAGTCAAAGGCGTCGATGCACTGTCATCGCGGCTAAAGTCGCAAGTGCACATCGATAGAGTATATTGCGCTCGATGTTTATTAAAAATATATAATGATTGTAATAAATAAATAGAAAATAGACCTAGTAAAGAGGTCAGATTGAGTTATTTTGAATTTTAAGTTGTTTTGATTGGATTATTTCAAGTGTCTGATTAAGAAAGTTGATCTATAACTCTCCTACACAGGTTTTGGATTGGATCAGATAGACTTAACTTTTAAAAAATTAAAATTAAATTTTTTTTTTATTTTTCTTCAAGAAAATCTAATACTAATTAATTATTTAGTTAAAATTTTTTTATTACTAATTAACTATTTAGTTAGAAAACTTATTAAACGTTAATTTCTATTTCATAAGTCATTTTTTTCCAATATCAAGAAAAGAAAATGAAAAGATTAATGATTATATAGATGGAACTAAAATATATGTCAAATATATAATACTTATACAATATTTAGAATTCATAATTTCATAAATGTATTAATTTTTATTAAAAGAAGAGACATGAAGGATTACAATTTAAAAGACAAATCCAATATATATTAATATCTAGTGCCTGTTCAATATTTATAAGAGTATTATACAAAAAATACAGCTCTATTTAATATTTAGAAGGATATTATATAAAAAAATATAACCTTATTTAATATTAAAGTTTAAAAGGTAAATTTAAAATATATTTAACCAAATACAAGAAGAAATTGAATTGGAATTGATTTTTATTAATTATAAATAAATTATTAATTAAGAACAAATTAGCAACTAATAACGAATTTTGATGTTTTTAATGTTATTGTCTTTATACTTTTAATGGTTATGAGGGTACCTTAACCACTGGGTTTTGATTTTCAGTAGACATTCTTACTTTTTATTTTAAAAAAAATGATTTTTTTACGATATCATATAACATAATTCACTGTATGTCACTTAATCTAATTTTTTATGTGAGTGCCACAAAAGAGAAAGATTAGAGAGCTTGAGATGAAGAAGAGGAAAGCGAGAGTGGAGAAAAGGGAAAGTCGAGAGAAAGTGAAATTGATAAGAGATTAGGGTTTGAGTATTTTATTTATTTTTACTTTTAAGATTAAGAAATTAAAATTTTAAAATTAATTTTTAAGTAATCTAATAAAAAATAAATAAATAAAAGTTTGAGTCATTTTGGATGACTTAACTCACTTGTGATCCAGCTTATCTGGATTCGTTTAATTTCAATTTAGATCATTTTGGATTTCAGATTAACACATAACATCTATGACCTTATTCATAACAAATGGGTTGGGTTAGATTTTCAGATTGGATCCAATTTTATCAGGTTTAATAGAACAACATTATTAAGGGTGGGTAAAAATTATTCGAACCAAATGAAAATTAACTAAATTATTTTGGTTAAACAGTTTTTGGCCGTAAAATTATTGGTTTTGGTTTTTCCCAAAAATAATTTAGTTGGTTTTCAGTTCAAGTTTTTGAAAACTAAAAACCAAATCTTTAACGGAAATATATTAATAAAAAAAGGAAAAATATTCTTTTTAATACCTTAAATATCAATATCTTTTAATAATCGATTGACATGTCTTTTAAAAATCATGCTATTATTTGACATTTCAATATCCATTCTCTTGCTATCTTTTATTTTACTTTTATTTATAATTTATTATTATATTCTCTTAACCGTTTTAAATTAAATTTATTGTCTAAATCAATCCTTCGAGATTTAATGATTCATTTTTAAATTTTAATATTTAAATATAATTATTTAAATATTTATATTTGATTTACTATTTATATTTGATTTACAGGTCAATAATGCTTTTTAACCCATGGATTGATTCATTTCTCTTTTTCTCTTATAATTGCCTTTGTTAAAAAAAAAATTTTCTCCACTTATTAAAAACAAAAGGTCTTATATTAAGTTTTCTCTCTCTTAATTGCAAGCACTCATCTTATCCCTTTAACTTTTCTTTCAATGTTTAACCTCTTCATTATGTTTCTTCACCTTTTTTTTTCTTCATTGATTTTTCCCATTTCTCTTTCATCATTTAGATTTTTCATTTTTTTTAATCTCAATCGAGAGTTAAGTCCATCTAGAGAATTCAGTAAAGCCTTAAAAAATGAAATCCTTCATTCCTTCTACTCTTAATGTCTTCAGCCTAACCCAACTCTTCTTTTTCCTTCTATTTTGTGGCACTGGTGCTATATTTTTAGCCTAAATCATTGCTGCTGTTTTTTCCTTTGTTTTTGTGCATTTTCTACTCACATCTACTCATAGTTTTTGGTCCAGCATCTTCTTCAATTTCCCTTTCATCTTTGCAAAAGCATCATGTTAAATAATCTATGAATACCAAAACCAAAACCAAAAATTTCGGTAACCAATACTGTAGAAATAGCGGATTTTTGGTATTGATTTTGGTCCTGAGAAAAGAGAGAGAAATAAAAAAGGTTCAGTTAGTCAAAAATCAATATCAGTGAATACGGAAACCGACATTTGCCCAACAGTCCAACACTAACACCGCACATG